CTGGCTCCTCAAATTTAACCCTGCCAAATGCAAATTCAAGTGAGTTGGGGAAGGGCAAAGAAGACCGCAGACAAAGTATAAGTTAGGTGGTGAAAGACTGCAAACCTTACTCAAGGAAAAAGATCTTGGGGTGAGTGTAATACCGAGAACATCTCCCGAGGCGCACATAAACCAGATAACTGCTGCAACATATGGGCGCCTGGCAAACCTGAGAATAGCGTTCCGATACCTCAGTAAGTAATCGTTCAAGACTCTCTACACCGTGTACGTCAAGCCCATACTGGAGTATGCAGCACCAATTTGGAACCCACACCTGGTCAAGCACGTCAAGAAATTAGAGAAAGTGCAAATGTTTGCAACAAGGCTAGTTCCAGAGTTAAGGGGAATGTCCTACGAGGAAAGCTTAAGGGAAATCGGCCTGACGACACTGGAGGACAGGAGGGTTAGGGGAGACATGATAACGGCTTACAAAATACTGCGAGGAATTGACAAAGTGGACAGAGACAGGATGTTCCAGAGATGGGACACAGAAACAAGGGGTCACAAATAGAAGTTGAAGACTCAGATGAGTCAAAGAGATGTTAGGAAGTATTTCTTTAGCCACAGAGTTGTCAGAAAGTGGAATAGTCTGGCGAGTGACGTAGTGGAGGCAGGAACCATACATAGTTTTAAGACGAGGTTTGATAAAGCTCATGGAGCAGGGAGAGGTCCTAGTAGCGATCAGTAAAGAGGCGGGGCCAGGAGCTATGTATTGACCCCTGCAACCACAAATAGGTGAGAGTGCACACACACACAAGCTCACACATACCTCCACACACACTAATACACTCTCAGTATGAAGCCGCAGAGTGGAAGCCTCACCTGGTATACAAGGGGACTAATCCTGAGCTCAATCATCCGCTGAGACAGTCTAAGGTCCTCAACCCCATGACAACAGATGGAACCTAATTGCCTTCCGTCCCTCAGGTGCTGTATCACCACAGTAAGTCAACAAGAAACATACCATTGTTCTGAAAATAGGTTGTTGATTCCAACCATAGCTCAACAACACCGCCAAACGATCACTTTCTCATCATAAGCACTGAGGCACACACACAGGGCAGGCAAATGATAACAACCAAGCATTACCAGGAATCATAATATTCTGAATTACAGAATGAGCAGTGGAGTCTGCTAAGTAATTACCATTGTTTCTCTAGAGCATTGCCAGGTGGCACTGAGTAGAGCACTCTGATAGTGATGCCAGGTGGCACTGAGTAGAGCACTCTGATAGTGATGCCAGGTGGCACTGAGTAGAGCACTCTGATAGTGATGCCAGGTGGCACTGAGTAGAGCACTCTGATAGTGATGCCAGGTGGCACTGAGTAGAGCACTCTGATAGTGATGCCAGGTGGCACTGAGTAGAGAACGCTGATAGTGATGCCAGGTTGCACTGAGTAGAACACTCTGATAGTGATGTCAGGTGGCACTAAGAGAACTCTGATAGTGATGCCAGGTTTCAATGAATAGAGCACTCTGATAGTGATGCCAGGTGGCATTGAGTAGAGAACGCTGATAGTGATGCCAGGTGGCACTGAGTGGAACACTCTGATAGTGATGCCAGGTGGCACTAAGTAGAGAACTCTGATAGTGATGCCAGGTGGCACTGAATAAGAACACTGATAATGATGCCAGATGGTACTGAGCAGAGAACTCTGATAGTGATGCCAGGTGACACTGAGCAGAGAACTCTGATAGTGATTCTAGGTGGCACTGAGTAGAGCACTCTGACAGTGATGCCAGGTGGCAATGAGTAGAGAACACTGATAGTGCTGCCAGGTGGCACTGAGTAGAGGACACTGATAGTGATGTCAGGTGGCACTTAGAACTCTGATAGTGATGCCAGGTAGCACTGAGAACTCTGATAGTTATGCCAGGTGGCACTGAGTAGAAAACTCTGATAGTGATGCCAGGTGGCACTGAGTAGAGAACTCTGATAATGATGCCAGGTGGCACTGAGAACTCTGATAGTGATGTCAGGTGGCACTGAGTAGAGAACTCTGATAATGATGCCAGGTGGCACTGAGAACTCTGATAATAATGCCAGGTGGCACTGAGCAGAGCACTGATAATGTCAGGTGGCAGCACACGCTCCAGTGCTCCCGGCATTACTATGGTCGAAAAATACGATACGAATTATCCTGAATGAGTCACCTTGATCTGGAAATGGCAAACGAGTTTCGTAGGAGGGAAGGAAGAGCTAGGGAGGGTAGGAGGAAAATAGACAGGAAGGAATGAGGCAGGGAAAGTAAGAGAGGAAAGGAGTAAGGGTAGACGGGGAGAGAGAGAGAGAGAGAGAGAGAGAGAGAGAGAGAGAGAGAGAGAGAGAGAGAGAGAGAGAGAGAGAGAGAGAGAGAGAGAGAGAGGAACGGAAGAGATTCGGAGAAGCCTTCATTTGGATCATTAATCCCGCGGGTTAGTAACCCAGGATAACCCAAGCCAGTCAAGCATCTTGGCTTATTTTCACTTGGGTCTCCTGGTCTTCTTCCCCAGGATGCGACCCACAACAAACGACTAACACCCAGGTACCTATTGACTGTTAGGTAAACAGAGGCAACAGGTGACAGACAACATACCTAACGTCCCTCGGGATCGAGTTTATATAGTGAGGCTGTGAGTTTATATAATGTGGTTGTGAGTTTATATAGTGAGGCTGTGAATTTATATAGTGTTGTTGTGAGTTTATATAGTGAGGCTGTGAGTTTATATAGTGTGGTTGTGAGTTTATAGCATGAATTACGTGACTCAAGACACTAGACTCAGTTCACAATCACTCAGAGATAAACTAATTGTTCAGATGTACGCGTAATTGTTCTCCTCACATACGTACATACATGGATGTGCACACACGTACATAAACACCGGGAGACATGCAGGTATACAAACACATATATAAACACACATGCGCGGGTATACATACATTGTATGAGTTACAGGTTAACAAATTAAATCATTCGATTATTTTGTGCAAAGTTGGACGCCCACGTTTCTCCCTCCCTCATCAAGGATGTTAATTATTAAATATATGAGATTAATATTTTTCTTATAAATTATATGTATTTGTCTTTGGATTTATGGAGGTTAAGAATGATGGGACATATCCTGTATTTACTGTATCAGTCTTCTGGTCTCTGCTAAAGTGGTCACTACTAAGTGATCACTACAGTGGTCATCACTAAAGTGGACTCCATTGCATAGGTCACCACTACTGTGGTCTACACTGCAGTGGGCACTGCTACAGCGGTCATCACTAAAGTGGACTCCACTGCACTTGTCACCACTACTGTGGTCTACACTGCAGTGGTCACTACTACAGTGGTCATTCCTACAGGGCTCAGCTGTTACCACTGTAGTGGTCACAACAGTGGGCACCACTGCAGGGATCAGACACTCATTCATTCCTGGTCAGTTCAGTATTCAGTTCCATTACACATTAATTCTAATACTATACAGCTTGCCCAGCTTACACACAAACACACGCCAACAGTCTTCACCTCCAGTGTTGGAGATACACTGCCAGCATATTCACCAACACTATTTCTCAGAGCTCACGAATAGAACAATCTCCAACACTCGGAAGTGGCAGATATCTATCCATCCATCCATCCATCCATCCACACACACACACACACACACACACACACACCATCACCAACACTGGAGGTAGCTCCTGTACTTCTCGTGGAAGTCACTGTCTCCAATACTATTATTCGTAGTTAAATGGTTTAAAGAACCGACAAATTGATAAATTAGATACATGTGTAACACTTGGGTATCTTTATTGTGGAAACGTTACGCCACACAGTGACTTCCTCAGTTCAATACAAAACAGAATGGTTAAAGATCAGAAGGAGTTTGAGGTAATCAGTCCCTCAGCCTGGAGTCAATGTAATCAGTCCCTCTTGAAAAGATCTTGAACTCCTGATCTTCACCATTCTCCTTTGTACTGGATTGATGAAGTCACTGTGTGACGAAACGTTTCCACAACAGATACCCAACTGTTACACATGTGTCTAATTTATCAGTGTTATTCGTGTTGACAGATGTGGTTTGCAAAGCTGAAACTCGGCTTCCTTGTTCCCAGCACGCTGGGTACCTGGAGGTTATCCCGGGGTTCAACGCCCCCGCAGCCCGGTCCATAACCAGGCCTCCCGGTGGATCAGGGCCTGATCAACCAGGCTGTTATTGCTGGCTGCACGTAGTCCAACGTACGAACCACAGCCCGGTTGATCCGGTACAGACTTTAGGTATCTGTCCAGCTCCCTCTTGAAGACAACCAGGGGTGTATTCACTCCAAGACAGTGTCCGCCTTGCTGACACTAACAATATTCATTTCTCTCGTGTTACACACCTTAGCTACCGGAAAAGTTGGTTCTCTGCCAAAAAATTTTTCTAGCCTCCATAGACGCAGTCTTGTAGAAGATAAAAACACAAGCCGCACTGCTAGCTATTATTCATTTTTTTTCCCGGTGTATAACCTTTTACACAGAGCGAAACGTTGTTTGGATAAACGTTTATTGTGTAGCTTGTGTTTTTGGATTTCTGCAAGTCGGCAATATGCCAATTTTTGTAACTAATATTAAAGTTTTCTTTTTAAAAACATATGTGACTTGACCTGACCGTTTCTCTTTTCACCTCTTTCAACCTGATTTCGGCTGACTTCTCACTTCTCTTTCCCTGTCGTCTGGGTTTCTCACCTTTCTTCCTCAGAGTTTTGATGATGGTCTATGACGGACAGAAAGGTTCATCTCAAATTTGTGGGTTAGTTGAGAGTTTGCAAATTTTGATTTCGTCGCAGTTTTCACATGAGACCGCGGTGTTAAAGTCTTTCCTCGGCTTCAACACTTGTAAAATATCGACACTTCGTCAGCAGAGAGTTCACGAGGGCCACTTCGGGTATTCTATACCAGTAGCCATCACTACCACCACCAACCACAACTACTACTACTACCACCACCAACAGCGACAGTATTCACCAGGAGCAGCCACCACCAACAGCTGTCTCCACCAACAGCAGCCTCCACTAATTGCAGTCTCCACCGTTGTAGACCTCATCTAGTAATTTACCCGTATCGTCCGAGGCGCACACGGCTCATACCTGGAAAGTACAGATTAATTAAAAAGACTAAATAATTTGAAACTCGGGGTGAATAACTGGACGAGAGATAGGCGGGGGGGGGGGTGTAAGAGATGGGAGGGGAGGAAGAAGGGAGAAGTAGAAGGGAAGAAGTAGCGAAAGAAAAGGAAAACAGAGAGAGGGAGGGAGAGGGAGGGGGGTTGGAGGCCAAGAGGAGAAAATCACTTCAGCTTACACAGCTAATTAAGGGATATCTGGGTGCCCCTTAATTAAGGGATACCTGTGTGCCCTCATCTAACGTTAATTAATTTAGCCAAGAATAATTGTCAGCGATGCTTGGCTAATCCTGTCCACGACAGAGACCTGCCTCACTCAGTACCAGACCTGCCTCACCCAGTGCTAGACCTGCCTTACCCAGTGCCAGACCTGCCTCATCCAGTGCCAGACCTGCCTCACCCAGTGCCAGACCTGACTCACCCAGTGCCAGACCTGACTCACCCAGTGGCAGACCTGACTCACCCAGTGGCAGACCTGACTCACCCACTGCCAGACCTGACTCACCCAGTGCCAGACGTGACTCATCTTCTGTTTACTAGTCAGAAAGCAAATAAACTACTATAAGTCCTTTTCTAATGTAGTTATCATAGGTTGTGCTAAGGTGGTTGGTCACTCAGCTAGATGGAACTGGACCATCTTAGTGCATCCTAGTGCATGTCAGATGACCCGTTGTTGAGACATCCGGTGATCCTCTCGTAAGTTCTCTGATGACGGAATTAGTCCCGGAATCGTAATAACACGACCGGAAATAAATACACATAATTGGATGAATCTTATTAGGGCCAGCTGGCCGAGTGGTTAACGCACTGGCCTGTGGGTTTTAGGACGCATTTGCCATGGGTTCACATACTCGTTCCGTGATTAAGTACCGGAGAGTGCCTGCAGATCCAGGCACTGATGGGGCAAGATTAAAGCCGTTCTTGACATTTCACTAGCCACCGTTATTAGGTGAATTATTAATTGTGCAACTTGTGCTATCTTGTCTAATACGGTAATTAAGCTCGGTCAGTTCAGGAGGCGTTTTCCTTGTGTGTTGCACCTTCCTTGTGTAGTGCACCTTCCGTGTGTTGTGCACCTTGTGTCGTGCACCCAGGAGGATCAGAGGTCGTCGTCGGGACACAGCAGCAGAGGTATCTGTAGTTAAGAGGGGGTAACTGGTTTATTTTGATTAAATGAGAAACATGTGCAACATTTGGGTACCTATTCTCGAAACGTTTCGCCAGCCAGTAGCTTCTTCAGTCCAATGTAGAGAAAGGTGAAAAATGAGGGGGAGTTTGAGGTAATCAGTCCCTCAGGCTGGAATCAATGTGTTTTTCATATTTTAATTTATTTTCCGGATTTGCATTTTCCCTTCATTTTATCTCAGGGCCAGCGAGACATTGGCTCAATTTCCCCTTGTCTCCAAGTGGCTGCAACACCCTTTACCGACCACGGCACGGGATTGGATCCTCCCCAAAACCCACAATAACTTTCGAGCAACCATTTCTTTTTTTGCCTGACCCTGTATTGACTTTCTGCGTACCCCTTCTGTTATCTCTCACCCTCGCTCTGCCTTGACTCGGTTTCTCCCACGACATGGCGACGATTCTCGGATCATTGATATGTCAAAGAACAGTGACTGGAAACCATCTTCCACAAGACCTTGAGATATATTAGACCATACTGATGCTCTAGCTTGTTGACATTCTAAAGAAATACACCAACTAGAAATATCTGCCCCTACAAGAAATATATAGAAAAACAGTTTTTTTTTTCTTCCCGCCAAGAAACTCAATGAATTTGAGAAGAACCTGCCTAGTATGGGCCAGTAGGCTTGTTGCATTGTTCCCCCTTCTTTAACGTTCTTTGGAATTCTCTTACAGACCGTCGTAACAGCAGGAACTTACGACATCCATCGGCTAAAACGACTCCTTCCTTGCAATAAGGAGAGAGATGTACACTGCCAACATAAACAACGCACATCACGCTACCAGTCTTTCGTACATCCTCACTCTCGACAACATTCCAGTTACACTAAAGAGATGTTCCTTCCCAGTTCGAGCTGTGGAAGTGATCCCATTTCACGCACTATAATACAACAATATATACACTGCGGCCCGGACATTCACGAGCAACTTGAGCTACATCTCCCGTCTCACATAATGGAACCTTACAGCGTTCTCTTGCTGCTCTGTGAACTCGCATCAAGGCTATCCCAGTGCCAACCAACATTAGGTTTGATGATGCCCATATGTTTCAGCACTTACACACTATTATCACGTCTTTCTCTTATACTTTTTTCACTCTTATTTGTTCTGGAGTTGAACCTCTTCAACGGAAAACTGTAGCTATTCTATTTTATAAAAATGCAAGTACTCGATCTCAAACCTCTTCTCATTAAAGTCCCATCGTTCTCATCAGCGCAAATATTTGATGCTGCAAAGCTAGACTAACAGAAGTCTAATAATGCATTCATAAACCCGAAATACACTCCCTCCCAACAACTATTGGTTATAATTATAAACTTTTAAAGGGGTTACCTGACGAATCTCACCTAACCTAAAACACTCCCGTCATTCATTTGTTTTAATAAAGGGTCGTTCCATTATCGACTCCATAATCGTCTCGATACAGAGGTCTGCGAGGCCTTCCATGGTAGCCAATTTATAGCTTCAGTCTTTTTAAATCTGGAAAAACCTTACGAACCCTTTCTCCTATATAAATTACTGAATATAAAGAGAAAAAAACTTTAGTTTTTCTTTTTAGGTCACCCTGCCTCGGTGGGAGACGGCCGGATCGTTAAAAACAACTTACAAAACTGGCTTAGGGAGGTTTTTTTTAGGGGGGGGTTGAGGGGGGGGGTTATTTTGGGGTGATACTAGCTTGAGGGAGGGTTGTAGCTTGGGGTAACGTGATACGGGTTTGAGGGAGGGGGGTTTAGGGTGGCTGAGGTGAAACCTTGGGGGTTATATTTGGTAAGTTGGGAGTGGGGAGGTGAATTAGTTGAGTGAGGGATCTGTAGTTGAGGAGGTATACTGTGTTGAGGAGGTAAACTTAGCTGTGGTAGGGGTGATATGCTATCTGAGGAGGTGAATGAGCTTGGGGGGAAAGGGAGGTGATACTGTAGCTTAGGGGGGTGAAACTTACTTGAGGAGGTGATACGTAGCTTGGAGGGACGCTTGGATGTACTTAGGGTATACTGTAGCTTAGGAGGGAAGTGCTTAGGGTGTGATATAGCTTAGAGGGATATTGAGCTTGAGGAGGACATCATGATACTGTAGCTTGGGGAGGGAATTACTTGAGATTGACGACAAGGGCATACTGCAACTGATACGCTACTGAGGAGAGGTGATACTGTAGCTTGAGGGAGGTGATACTGTACTAGATTGAACTTAACTAGGGAAACAGCTTGAAGAGCGAATACAAAGCACTGAGCAGGAGGATAATGTCATGGAGTACTACTGACGTAGGAGTTAATGAGGAGCTGAATTACTTTGAGGAGGTGATACTGATACTGAAGTGAAGAGTGAAGGTATGAGCTCAACTCTAAAAGACTAGCGAACATTCAGGGAGGATGATACCTGTAGCTAAAGGAAATTTACCATCTAAGAATTGACTGACTGGACAGACACAAACACTACAGAGCATACATAGTAAGATGCAAACACAGACATACTAAGAATATAGTAGTAAATCTGAATATGATACTCATCAATAGACAGTAACCATAGGAACACAATCACAGTATACAACATCTCAACATCACGCAAAACGTAAACATGACGAAGAGAGAATGAAGCTAGATTGTGACTGCAAAACACCAAAACAACACATCCACAAAAGAGCACAAAGAACAGGGAGCCACAGGACAGATACACAACAGATCATACAGCATGAAATGATTAACCCGGGTACAATGCTAGTACAGCCATTACTTACAAATATACAATAAACACGAAACAGGATTTGACATGATAGGAGGAGACAATTAAACATTATCGGAGATACTAAAGCAGAGATAAAGATACTGTACATAGGAGTGAAAGTTAGGGAGGGATGTGACTAGAGGGATCTTACTGAGGGAGGGATGTCGGAGGGTGATTGTGGGAAGGGGTTTTACTACGAGGGAACTGTAAGGGGATGCAATACTGAGTGACAAGAGGAACGTAAAGGGAGATTAACTAAGGAGGTGAACTACTGAAGGGAGTAAATTATGGGAGGTGTAGAGTTGAGGGAGTGACACGTAGTTAAGGACGATCTAGAGGCACTGTCGTGGGGGAGACACTGTAGCTTGAGGGAGGTGATACTGTAGCTTGAGGGAGGTGATATGTACTTGAGGGAGGTGATACTGTAGCTTGAGGGAGGTGTTACTGTAGCTTGAGGGAGGTGTACTGTAGCTTGAGGAGGTGATACTGTAGCTTGAGGGAGGTGATACTGTAGCTTGAGGGAGTGATACTGTAGCTTGAGGGAGGTGATACGTAGCTTAAGGGAGGTGATACTGTAGCTTGAGGGAGGTGATACTGTAGCTTGAGGGAGGTGATACTGTTAGCTTGAGGGAGGTGATACTGTAGCTTGAGGGAGGTGATACTGTAGCTTGAGGGAGGTGATACTGTAGCTTGAGGGAGGTGATACTGTAGCTTGAGGGAGGTGATACTGTAGCTTGAGGGAGGTGATACTGTAGCTTGAGGGAGGTGATACTGTAGCTTGAGGGAGGTGATACTGTAGCTTGAGGGAGGTGATCTGTAGCTTGAGGGAGGTGATACTGTAGCTTGAGGGAGGTGATACTGTAGCTTGAGGGAGGTGATACTGTAGCTTGAGGGAGGTGATACTGGTAGCTTGAGGGAGGTGATACTGTAGCTTAGGGAGGTGATACTGTAGCTTGGGAGTGATACTGTAGCTTGAGGGAGGTGATACTGGTAGCTTGAGGGAGGTGATACTGTAGCTTGAGGAGGTGATACTGTAGCTTGAGGGAGGTGATACTGTAG